CAGAAGCATTAAAGGGTCTTTTTTGTTTGTTTGTTTCTTTGTTTCTCCTTTCCAAAGTATTTCCTTTTCACTGAGCTCTGATGCCCAAATGACAGATTTAAAAAAAAAAAAAAAAAAACCCTAGAACAGTGCTTACAGGGCACCAAGGACAAGACAGACTAAAACCAGCAAATAAAAAAGATTAAGATGATACTGCTTTCTTTGTGTCCTCTCCTACTCACACCTGATCCTGCCACAGAAAAGGAGCCAGGAAGAGCAGCCGAGTGCTGGGCATCCCCAGCAGGCCTTCAGCAACAAGCTTCCTCCACCATACACATGGGCTTCACGGAGCACCAGAAAAGACAAGCAGAAGACACAGAGATCCTTCCAATAGGTCTCTGGGCTCATGAAACATCCACACTGGCAATGGCCTGGAGAGTGGCAGGGCCATGATACATAGCCAGCTCTTTCACTCACCAAATTACTGAGTGAAAGTGTCTCTTCAAAGAAGACATCACAGAGAAACTCAAAAGGGCTAGAGAAAGGGCTTTGAAGTTGAGTCTGACATTTCTATCTTGCAGGTTTTCCCATCTTTCAGAGGTAAAGGGTCTTTTTTCTTTTCCAGACACATCCTGCTCCTACAAAACACGGTGAGTCTGGATTTACCAGGCCTCACCAGACTCTTGATCCCCCTCCCAAGCTGGTGCCCTGCGCACGGCTGTAGCAAGTAAGTAGCGATTCAGAAGTCAGAAACACCCCAACACACCTCTCCATCTCTTGGTAAGAGCAGAGGTGGATGAAGACTGCTCTCAGACTTCTGCAGCATTCAGAGTGCACCACAACATACTCTTTTATTATCACCTTGCAGGTAATTATTACTGTCCTGCCCCTTTTAAAAGTCACTTGCAGCTTCCTGCTTTTCCCTCACCACAGAAGACTGTTCTGAAGGTCATTCACAAATAGGAAGCAAAAAAGCTGTTCCTTGCACATATCCCCAGGAAAGCCTTCAGGTCTGCTTGGCCAAAGATAGCAAGTCTAGTTGATACGGTTAAGACCTCCTGCAAGGTGGCCCAGCAATGCCAGCAGGCCACAGTGTCATCACAGCTAGAAGGGTTGAAAATAAGGTATCCCCCGCAAGGTGATTACCACAGCACTAACAGGATAGGAAATCCTGAGAGATTAAGCTCTATGTTGGGCTAAATGCAAACACACACGAGCTGCAAAGCAGTAGCTGTTAACATTTTGGTAAGGATGCAGTCAGCATAGAGAGACACAGAGCACAGCCACTTCTGCGCTGGTAATTCCAGTGCCCCGAAGACAAGGAACCCACATGCGTTTAAACACTGCTAAATCAAGTCCTTGTTGACAAAGTAGAAGCATGTCATTGTGCCCAGCCAGCTTATAATGTTGTCTTTCATTAGGCAAATATTCTGCAGAATGACAGTCTATGTAAAGCAATATTCATGAATTACTTCTCCGTGAAAAGATAAATCCTACCTCTAAGCTCAAGCTGGAGCTTGTAGAGGCTACTTTGTACCAAAGCAGTTTAAAATCCAGGTAAAAACAGGATCAAACCCAAAAGAACAGAGACTTTCTTAGGCTCTTGTATATTTCCAGGCTCCAAGCATGCAGAAAACTCAAAAGAGTCATTTACTTGCATAAGCCTTAAGTGATCAGTACTGACCAACTCATTGACTGAGATACTAATTGCCATGAATGAAGACGACAGAATTACATCTTTAGCCCTACAAACACATGTTGCCTATTTTTCCCTTGAGTGTCTCAGGTATGCATTAGTATCACAATTTGCAACCCGCATGCGAGCTGGAGTTTACTTTCTGCGTGTTATTGGTGCAATAGTTCTCAAATTAGCTCAGCCTCACATCAGTAACTGGCTTCAGTAGCAGCCCCTGCATAATCACTGATGAACTGAGGAATAATAAAATCTGCATGAGGTTCAACTTGCGCAGGAATCCGTGCCATGCACCTAGTCAGACAACTGTTTCTCAGCACAGAGCGTTCACGAATCCTGTCTAACGCTGCATGCAGGTTCTGTACTCTGTCTTTGAGCAGCTTTGCAAAACAACTCCATTTCTGGCTGCCAAACGAGTTGAAGGAGAGAGTTAAACTCCCAATATCTAATCCATGCCGCTGCAAGCACAAAACACATAGGCATGCTTCATAAACAAACACCTTCTGATTTCTCAAAACCTCTTTGTAGCATTTTTTCCATCAGTATTTCTCCCAACTGTTGTTTCTGGGTCCATCAGAAATTGCTGAACTTCCACATATATTCTGACTAGATGTATCTTTAACCTCAAGTGGACTGTCAAGCCAGATGCCAGATGCCCCCTTACTTCCTCAGCGCAAACTATCAGTAAACCTTAGCATAACTTTACTTTGAGCCTTAAACTAACAGCATGTGAAAAGATTAATATGAATAAATTCAAAACTAATCAGATCCCTTCTTTAAATGTTGACACAGTATTATTTATATCCCATAAATACCTTCTTGACTAAAATTCATCCCAGGAGATTGGCATCTTGCCAGTTCTATTCATATTTACTGTATTTATATAGTACAGTTGGCCAAGGATAATATTTAAGACAAAATATGCCTTAGGGTATATACAATATCTCTTATAGTTTTCCTTTTAAATCTCCTCATTGCTAAAAATATTTAGTCTGAACTTTATAAAAATGCCCCACAAAGACCTATCAGCAATCTGCAGTGATATATGGCTGACTACGAGTATAATTAGAACATATTTGTAATAGTTGGGCTGTAGTCAGTTACTGAATGTTAGCAACTCGCGGTAGAAAGCGAACCACTGATCTTTCCCATGCCTTCCCCTGAGCAGCCTCTGACCTTCGGTGCGCTCACGCCGAACCCCCTCTCCCTCCTGCCTGTCCCGAGCGCGGCAGAAACTGGAGAGTTTAAAAAAAAAAATCACTTTGAGAAGTTTAGGACAAAGCGGCTGTGGTCGCCAAAGCTGCGTTTTCAATTTCTTCCTTTAAAATATGGTGGAATGATTTCTTCCCTCCTGTCTTTTTTGGAAAGGTTCGCCCCATCCAGTATAACTAGAGAGCAGTGGAAAAACAGTTAACCTACTTACTATGATGTTAGCGACAGCACTTGCACAGTAGTGCTGGATTTGCTACTAAATGGCCTTTCCCAAACTTCCCAAGTTTGCTAAATCCCAAACTTCTGATGCTCTCTGTTGGTAGATACCTGCAATCTACCCTGCTCTTCCAAAACCTCTATCGATACTTCAGCACAAACCTGGCCTCCGTCAACATTTTAAAAATAGTTCTTCTTTTGTCAACACTATCCAAGTCGCACACCACAGATATTTTAATTTTCTGGAAAGTCTGTGGCTGCATTCTGGACTCTCGGGTCTCTGTTGGTGGTTCAAGCAAGGAAACAGGAGAGACGCGTGGCCAGGATGGATGCGTTTCTGCCCTCAGAGACTGCTGCGGGCTGCGCTCCGCGTGGCAGGCAGCCCGTATAACCTCTGCTCCTGGGCGCTCACCACCAAAAGCAGCCCCAGCAAAATGCGCCTTGACACCAGGGAGAAACCGACGCGATTTCCACCTCCTCGCTCCACGCTACTGCTACAAATCACGCTGCACCTCTCTGCTCAGACCCGCTTGGCTCCGCCGCGCATTTTTTTCAAAAAGTATTTCTCCCCTGAGGGGAACAAGTGTGGAGTGTATTTATCATGGCTATTATGGATGGTGCCATAATTACAATAATAAAATGGCTCTGACTGCCAGGGTGTCCTGTACCTGATGCTGTCATTTAACGATAGAGGAGGAAGGGAAGGCAGCTGCAGAGTGTGGGGCTCAGATACTTTGGCTGGCATCCTAGCAGTATCGTATGCAAGACGGAGCAAGCCCCTAAGCCACAACTTGCTAAAACCAAAAATAAATAAGGGAAAATGCAATTAGAAACTCGGATAAAGTTACCAAGATGGCTCCATTATCTATTTAAACACGAGGCACATGCTTTCCAAAAGCACACGGCGAGGATGGGGGGGCGTCAAGTGGCAGGGAGGGGGAAGAGGGAGCGAAATGAAAAGAGTCGGGACGAGGAGCTGGATACGCCAGCGGTGCAGTTATTTTTTACTTCTGGTATTTCACTTTCCTCGGTAGGATGATGATCTAGATTCTTTTAAGGGAGTGTTACGCTTTTCCATTTTTTTTTTCTCCCCCCCCTCTCAAACTTTGCTACCAAAACAGACAGGCGTGTTGTTACGATTAATAACCATCCTAGGTGGATTTGCTCAGCACAGAGAATTTATGCCCTTTTCTTTTGCAAAATGTGGTGCGGGTCATAGGGAGGTCGTTGGGAAGCACCAGAGGGGCTGAGGCAGGTTCCAGGAACCGACTAACCAGGAGGGAAAACTTCTCCTCTCCCCGAAATGAGAGCACCCATGAACTGAAGTGGGTGGCCGGATAAGGGAGAAGGGAGGGAGGCAGCCTGTCCTCCCCAAGCACCACTCGGGATAGTGGTTTGCAGGACCATGTCCTGGAGAGAAAGGAGCAAATCGAAGCTGGTGGATTTCTTTCCTCTTTATTTATTATTTATTATTATTTAAGTCCTCCTTTTCTTTTCAGTCATGACGAGGTGGAAACCTGCCCGACTCAGACACTCCAAGGGAAACAACAGCAGTGGAAAGATATTTTAGGAGGCTGCACATGGGGCCGCAGGGGAGCCAGGGATCTGAGCTGGCGGCGGGCAGGGAGCGGGATCCCGGGATGGGGGGAGCTCAGGTACGTGGTGCTGGGAAGTGGAGGCACTGCCCGAGATCCCCGGAAGGGACTTCCAAGGGGGACCCAAAACCTCACGAGCACACACAGACACCCCCACCAAAGGAAACTCTCCGAGAGGCTCCGCAGGCGAGCGCAAAGCGAGCAGATACGGATAATGATGCAGGGGGACGGTATTTCCAGGTGCCGGGCACCGCCAAGCCCCCGGGCCAGCATCACCCTCACACGCACAAACCCAGAGCACTTACTTTCGGGGTAAAAAGGCTGCATGTCTACTTTGTAGACTTCTTTGGCGTAGTACTCCTCGTCGCTCCGCTCCCGCTCGCAAGTGGCGGCTCGGTGGTTGGCTTTCTCCTGCAGCAGGTCCCTGGTGCTGTTGTAGATGGAGATGACCTCCGGGGGCACCTCCTCGGGCTCGGGGTACTCGTCCGGGGGGCTGGTGAGCTTCAGCTTGCTCAAGATCTGCCCCCGGATCGCCTCGATCCTCTTGCGCATGAACTGATCCATGTCGAGGGTGCTGCAGGTAGACAGGCTGAGCGCCACGGCGGCCAGATCCAGGGTGAGAAACACGCTCAGGAGATAGCAGTGCATTTTAGGCGTTTAAATACAGCGCCCCCCCCTCCCCAAAAAAAAAAAAAAAAAAAGGCACAAAACTTGCTATAGCTTCTTAAGTGGTATTTATGGATAGTCAGACTTAAAGGAAATGATATTTCCTATAGAAACTTGGCTTAATATTCTAGTATTTTAGTTTGCAGGACTGGAGAGACGACAACAGAAAAAAAAAAAAAAAAAAAAAAAAAAAAAGCACGGGAGTCGCCAGTGAAAAAAAAAATCAAAAATAACAATAATAAAAAAGGAGCAAGTCGCTACAACTAGCTAAAAACTTCGGGGGTGGAGAGAGGGACGCAGCCAAGAGGAAAAAAAAAAAAAAAAAAATAATAAAAAAGGAGCAAGTCGCTACAACTAGCTAAAAACTTCGGGGGTGGAGAGAGGGACGCAGCCAAGAGGAAAAAAAAAAAAAAAAAAACCCTGTCCTACGCACCTATATACCTACTGAAAAGGATGCAGAATGAATAGAAATTAAATAACCAACATATGGTAACAAATACCCTACACACAAAGAAGAAATTGAAAATACCCCAGTATCACTGTGCAACAGAAGAGAAACAGATTCTACAAAACCTTTTCAGTCAGATTTTTGTTACGTTGGCAAGCATCAGCAAGGCAGGTTAAGAAACAGATTTGCATTTTAACAGGTATTTTCCATTCTTAAAACTGAATGCTTCTGAATATTGCTTTAAAATATCTTTTATTATAAAAAGGCATGTTTTATTTTTAATGGGAGGCTCAGTGAAAGCATCTCCTGCTAGGAAGTGCTTGCCCACCATCTGTTCAGTGGCAAGTGTGCCGCACGCGCCGCGTGTCAGGGAGCCGAGTCTTGTTTACATTTCTGCATGACAAACGCTCTCCTCAGAGCAGCAGGTCATTTCCTCTTTTATTTCCATCTAGCTCCTAGCAAAACTTGGCCTGCTTCAGATCTGCCTAGCATCTGACAACAGCTTAAGTTTCCCAAGAGTGATTTCTGCATGCTCCATCCAAAGTGCAAGGCGGGTAAGAGATTAAAAGGGATTATAATTTATTAATCTTGAGAACAATTTCCAAAACCAATCTTTGTTCCCAGCGTTATAGATGCCAACCTGTCCTTGGGCTGGAGCTGCACGCAGCAGCACTGCCCCTGCACAAGTGACACCTGAAGACAGGATAAGGCTTTAATGTTGCTTACACCTATTATTAAAGCAATTGGGCCAAACACCACCCTAGCCTTACAGGAAGAAGGAGCAGCCCTGCTCAGACGCCTCAAGAAAAGCACCTGGATGTGTTGCTGTGGAAAGTGTACAGGGGCAAAGAGGGGATGAGCCCGCACGGCTCTACCTGGGCCTTGCTCCTGGATTTCACTGCCAAGGGGGGTTTGGGCAGTGCTCCTGCCTCCCCTCTGACCCGCCACCTGGTACGAGTGCTCTGCAGGACGTGGGGGCGAGGGCCGGCTGCTCCTCTGCCTGCTCGGGTCCTGCCACGAGGGTGCAAAAGCAGCCTCAGTTGCACTTGACAGAGCTGCTCCAGCCCCGCGCTCTCTGTCCGCGTCTGCAATTCAGTTTTTCCGCAACCTCTTCTGGCCACAGGAAACATCACAGTCTCAAACAGTTGCCTTATCCAGAGCATGTCTAAGGGGAATGTCTCATACTTCAACCTCAGGAGGACAGCCTCCCACCTCTTCCCTAGAAAAATTACAGTCTACTAGACATCCCTCCACTTCATGACACAAGGCTTTTCTTGCACAGGGCCTTTATCACTGACTTCATAAAGTCAACACTGACTTCATACAATGATCAAGTGGCCTTTTTCCTTATGCTCACTCATTTTATCCCTAAGCTCACCTCAGAAGTAAGTTGTCACAGTCTTTAGTCAATAGGTGGAAACACAGAAGGAGTTTCAAAGCTTTGTGTAGTGGTGAAGCTATTTCTGAAGAACCTCTTCTGAAGAGCACATGCTCGTAGGACAGGCCAAGAAGGTGCTCTAAGGGGCACAGGCACTCAGGACTAGGGCTCAATCCTCTGTTTAAAAATACGTGGATATGCACAGCTCTGCAGACACAACTGAGATGACATCTTCATGGATGCAAGCGCCAGTGGTGCTTTCCATTTAAATCTCGGAATTCTGCAAGACCAGATTAAGCATCTGTGCCACAACACCGCATTTAACTGCCAAGTGTGTCAATGTCCTGCTCCTTCTGACCTAAAAAACACAGCTGCAGTGATGGGAACGGCAACGCTTCCAGCAGCCACTTGCATAAGCAAGGAAACCCTGTGTGCAGACTCAGCTGCTTTTACTTGGGCAACAACACACCTGTACAAAACCCGGGGACACTTCCTTGAGCTGCGACGTCCCACGGCTCCGCTCACTTGGATAAGCAGCTGAGGAACTCTGTATCACGAGGTACCTTGACTGCAAATAACCGCAAAAAGCATTATTAAATTATTTCCTCCAAAACCTAGGGCTAAAGCCCTAGAAATGAAGAAATGTCATATACTCCATCCTTAGCCTCGATCCCTGGCCCTGGATGACTTGGCTGTTGTTAATGTGCTAACTGGGGAGCTTCAGAACAGCCCTGGGGACAGCAGGTCACTCAGCTTCTGCAAGGGCCCTGGCACAGCATCAACAGCAAACTTTGTGCTATTGCTCAGGAGAGCTGCGTGGACTTAGTACTGCCACAAAGCAAATGTTTTGAATCTTTAAAAGTGTATTTCTATGCCAGTTTGGAAGGAAAATTAAACATCACAGCATCTTTCACAAAAAGAAATCCTACAGCCTCATTGGTGCCCAAATTAAGGCAACCCCTAACAGGGGCTGCCGAAATTCCGGTATCTTCCACAGCTGGGAAGGCAGCGCACGCAGTGGCAGATGTTCTGCAGGAACCCACCACATAAGCTGCCAGAGATCCAGGTAACAGAAAGGCACCTTGACTGGGTTTCGAAAGTTTTTGAGACTCTTCCCAGTCTGGCAACATACTCCCCAGATTTTCCTGAACACCTAGGAAAAGGCTGCTTCTGCTCTCAAGCTTGCTTCCTGCCTGACTCCACAAATTCCGCGAGGCAGCATCAGGGCTCGGAGCTCAGCCTTGCCTCACCACCAAGCCTCTAGTGACAAAACTAGATCCCCCAAATTTTCCAGCAGCACCAGGGTGATGTTTTTGCCGTGCAGAACTTCCTGGGAGCAGCAGAGCCCGGCTTAGGCTTCTCCATTGGGAAAGCCCAGACGTGGCCACCGGAGCTAAATCCCCAAGAGCTGCAGAAGGGCGAGTACACATGCCCCGATTCCCCCCAGGAAAGGACACTGGCCAAACCATTAAAATACACAGCAGCATTCATAAACACCAACTTCCCATTTTGCAAACGGAAAAATATTTGGAACATATACATCACGATACGCCTGATCTTATTTCCAAAAATCCCTCCCCTGCACGTACTTCGTTTTAGCCATAAAAGACAGCAGCACTCTCAACAGGTAACATTTTTACCTTGATAAAGATGCTGAAGTTTTGATCAAAAATTACAGAGATAAATTATGTTCATTGTTCAAAACTGGCTCGATGCCCTTCTGCATGGGTAATTTGATTTCTACATGATATATGAATATTGAAAATGAAAGCTAACTGACTTCATATTTTATTCTTACTTTTATTTATTTTGAAATAGTTTGTATTTAATTTACCTATTAGCTTTGAAAGCTGCCAGGATTGTCAGGCAGTAAAATTCAGCTAAACTTACTTTTATCTGTTCTCTGCCTTTATAAAATAGGCTCATCGTACGTGGCCATCAGTGAAAGACTTATGACTAAGTAGCACGCATACAGTGAGAGAACAGAACTTACCTGTTCTCGAGCTTTTAATTCAATACAATACTGTCTTTTTATATATTGATTTTTTTTAATAAATAGTAACTGTTTATTAGAAAAACAGGGACACCTGGAGAGTTACTTCACTAAACCTAAAGGTTTTGTGTTTCCTATTAACCTAAAAATTATGTGGTCAGGATTTTACAATTTGTGGTTTCTTTTTAGATTGTTTTGGTTATACGCAAATGTGCTGCATGAAATACAAAGGCAATAATCTTTCTAAAGCTGCTGACGACCAGGTCATTAAGTCAGGTGGCTGTCCACGTTTCATAAACTAAAGAACATTGTTGGAAGAGGAGCAACTTTTAAAAGTTAGGAGGTGACTTTCGTCAGCTCGCACACTGATGACGAGTGCAGGATGGTTGCACAAGTAATTCTTTGTGGCACGCACAGAAGTTTGCAGCAGTTACTGTAGTCACGCAGAACCTCACATGTTCTGACCTAGGGTGCAAGTTGCAAGTGTTTGAATTCTCCTCTTTATGGCAGCACATACATGAAGGTTCAATCTGTAGAGTTGAAGTGGCACTTAATAAAGGTGAGGCAAGGAGGAGATGACAAATAATGGAAAATTGTAATATATACAATAATAAACTCCTACATTTTACTGTTTATTATCTTTAGTCAAGTAGAAGTCCATACTTCAGTGCTGTATTTCATTACTGTGCACACTAATGCCAATATGAATTGGAGAGCAAAAAAAAAACCTACTAATGCAAGCAGCCCTGCTGCCACTAGGATCGCCTTCCAAACCACCCCAACCCACTCCCACAATATATGTTCCATATATGTTCCAGGAGATAATGGCTACTTTTTATTGTGTGCTGTCCAGTATGCAAGACTGCTGTCCATATATATACACATTCACACATAACTACTTGCCAGCCTCGCAAATCAAAGGCACCTTTCTGCTTCTTTTTGCACCCACTCATGCAAAATGGATTCAGTAGCTTCAGCAAAAAGCAGTCACAAGAGAACAGTCAGTAGGAGGCAACTCCACAAAAGCCATGCAGGAATCACTTTGGTTGGCTTAGGGAATGTCCCCCTAGGGAAAGTCCCCCAAAGATAAGAGAAACTCTGAGAACAGAACGGAGCGTGACCATTACTCTCTATCTCAGTTCTGCTGTTGTTATCCACATACTGCATGGCTTGGGTTTGACAATCCATAA